GTTGGGGATGGGCCCGGAGGGTGGGAGGGGCGCCAGGGGTGTGGGTGTTGCAGGTCGAGCGGTGGGGGCCGGGGCGTGGAGGTTCGGTGTGTCGTGAGCGCTCTACATGGCAGGACGGAATGGCTGGGTTGCATGGGGAGAGGATGGGGAACGCGTCCCATCACGCGCGGCCCGGGCAGGCGTGGTGGGGTGTGGGCGGCGCGATGTTCAGCGGACCCGCGCCGCGCCGTGTGACGTCATCGAGCGTCATCGAGCGTCGGCGCGCACCTGGCCCTGCTCCTTGGCCTTCTGCTCCGCGATGGCCCTCTGCTCGGCATCGTATTTCCTGACCTGCAGGGGCGGGCATGGTGTTGAGGGCGGGGCTTAACAGGGCGTGGCCCGCCCAAACGGTCCAAACCAGAGGGTTGTCCAGCAGGAGGGCGATCGCCTGAGACTCGCGGCCTGCGCCCGGCCCCACAGGGCGACGGCTGGTGAGGGGGGCCTGACGGCCGTAGGCGAGGGGCGCCCGCCACTGGGGCGCCCTCTGCCGCGGCCGCATAGGCGCGGGGGCCCGGGCGAAGCTGAAACGCCCAGCGGCGCATCGGGGCGGCGAGGCTGCTGGGCGGAGGGCGCACACCTGGTTGCGGAAGTTCATGGGGTGCCATGGCTTCTGGTTGAGGAAATTGTGGCTGCAGGGCGTGGGCAGTTGGGGCGGTTGGGGCGGTTGGGACGGTTCGAGCGGTTGGGGCGGTTTGGGGGAGTCGGGCGCAGGCAGGTGAGTGGAGGGGGCAGTGACTGCTATAGCGCAGGGTCCGGAAGGGGGGGGAGGCGTAGAGGGAGGTTTGCTGGCATGTAAAGCCGGCATGGCTCCATGCTGGTCTGGGGGAGGGCCACGGTGGGAGGGCAGCACTCACACGTGAGCCCTCACACGTGAGCCCTCAGGCAGCTGAGGGCCGACGACACCTGCACTGGGCCCGCGCGCGCACCCACCTCCATCCAGCGCCTGCCCCTCGCGGGTCGTACTTCCCATCTCCCTCCTTGGCCCGTTTCAGGTCCTCCTTGATGCCTGTTGGTGGGATGGGCGTGAGGCATGGGTGCGCAAGCATCTCTGTGGGCGCCCGCCTTGTCATAGCGGATCAGCTCGACGGTCGGGCCTGCTGCGGCGACGGCCCCTTGTCAGAGCCGCGTCACCGAGTTTACGCAACATGCTTGTCGTGCGCAGCGCGCTTTGATGGCTGAAAGGGATGCGCAGCAGCAGGAGCGGCCGGTGCAGCTGAGCTCAGCACGAGCAGGGCGGCTGAGGGACAACGTATCCCACAGCGAGCAAACGCACCTGCCACGGCCCCACGAGCCGGCAGCTTTGACATGCAAGCGGCAAAGCAGCTTCTGCTGCAGATGCCCAATTGGCAGATCACTCGAGCAGTCTAAGCCCGCGACTGCAAGCCACCGGCAGCTGCTTGCACCGATACAATCGCACGAATCTGTTAGTGAGATGCAGACAAAGTATTTTAGCCTGTCGCTGAAGAGCTCGGGGGTCCTCGGCGGGAGAGTGAGCTGCCCTCACATGTGCTGGTGGCTGCGGGCACGAGCTCTCGTCACAGTATTGGTAGCAAGCCCTGAGGCGGGTTGATACCCTTGAGTGCTCAATGTACTAAAAATGCTGGCCTTTGGCTTGAACATCCAAGGACTAAGACGTGTGAGGGATTACATGCCCGTTGTTAACACCTGCAACCTGCCCGCAACGTCCCAACAGCTTTATTACAGGGTATGTGTAACTACTTGTTTACGTGTCAGTGCAATAATCAGCTTGTGTCAACTGGCACGGGTGCGTATAAAGCAACAACTGCAATCCTGGGGGGCAAAGCAGGGGTAAGGCTGAAGTGAGGTGCGACGAGCGAAAGCCCTTGAACCCCTGAAAAACCCTTCGACATGGTCCGCTCTAGAGCGCGGCAGTTGAGCAACGCGGCGACACACGCACGAATGCGAATGTTTGTTGAAAAGCGCGCAGTGGACGCGCGACGTCGGCCCGCTGGCGGACGGCGATGCCGCCGCGGCGCCCGGCAGGTTTGAGTGGCTGGCAGCCCCCCATTGGCGCCTCCTGCCGAGCCCTAGGGGCCCGGAAACGCAGAGAGACCGCCCGTGTACTCCGATGCCCCCATGGGGGAGAAACCCCCAATGTTGTGAAACCCCGCATACAGCGATATGGATGTCGCCTTTCATTCCGTAGTATTCAGCCGACGCCTTGACCCCGGCCATCCGAGCGCGGAACGGGTAAAAGCCAGACCGGTGCAGTGGCGGCTGAGGGGCGAGGGGGGGGGGGCTGCGCCACACAGGAGTGACACAGGCCATGTGTAGTCGATATCAATGTGAGCCCAGCTCGCCCGTTCAGGGCGCTGGGCGGACGGGGCCAGCTCAACACCAGCTGCGCGTGGCGCAGGGTGGGCCCCCAGAGGGCGGGGTGTACCTGACGAGGCTTCAGGTGCCGGCCCAAGTTGATTGTGTGGTGCGTTCCATCCCTGCAAATATCTGGTATGCGATTGGCTCGAAGCGCGCGCCAATGGGAGGAAGCAGGCGCGATGCATGCCCAAATTGTGTCAGAAGCAGGGAAAGGGGCTGCCAAAGTGGCGGCACCCAGCCTGTGCTGCTTTTGCCGTGCGCGCGGCGGTGGCGGCCGCGTTTGTGGCTTGCCCCGCCCCACGGTCAAGGTGAAACCTGCGGGTGCAAGCCGAGGGCGGCAAGGTGCTGGCGCTAGGGTGAAGGTGCCTGTTGGCGGGAACCACAGCAGCCACGCGGCGGCCTGCTGCAATCATCGGGGCCGGTGTCTTTGTTGTAGCGTCTAAGGGAAGCGCGCCAGGCGGCGGGCGTGGTGCTCTCAAACCGTAATGCATTCACCAAAAAACAGCGTCTTTGAAAACGGCTCAGCGCCTGCACCGGGCAGCACGCGTGGCTCCACAGTACAAGGGTATCAGTCCTGTACTAAGAGAGAATCTCAACAACTTAGTGTGTGCAGGGGCGCATGGGACTGCCCGGCGTCAGTTAATGCAGATGGAAACCGTCTCCGCCCGCGTGATGGCGCGCCACCAGAAGCGTGCAATGAGCTACGCTCGTCCGGCCGCAATGCTGGAGCTGCGACCACCACTGGAAAAGAACGGGATGCCTAAAGCCGTGTGCCGGCGGTGAGAGCACAGGCGTGCAGAGCCCCACGTGATGTGCAGGCGCCATGCGCATGGAATGCGGCGTTGAACGCAACACACGCGCGGCCGCATGACGAGGAATCTGCATGGGCTGAGACGAGAAGACGGCAGCAGGGGGTTGCGTGCAGGGGCGGCGTGGCACAGGCCCAGCCGGGAGAGGGCCCCCCCGCGTCTGATGTGAGAACAGGCGGACCGTCTGGCCGTATTGAGCGACACCAGCCGTGCTGCATGTGCGGATGCAGGAGCGCCTGCGACTTTGGCTTCCAGCTGAGGGTGAAAGACCAAGCGGGGGTTGGAGGGGGACTGCCGCGATACGCACAAGGGGGGGCTGCCGGCACTCCGTGCAGACCAAACAGCCTGGGGACCGCTGCCAGGCCCAGATTGCATTGCTGCTCCGCATGATCGAAACTCCTCTTGGTATGCAGTAGCCGCACATGCGCAGACATTCCAACCCACCTCGCCCGCCAACAACCCAGCCTTGCAGATGCTTGTGAGCAATGCGCATCGCGTGGCAGTGGTGGAATGTAGAGCAGCGGCACATGACACGATGACAAGTGTCACACAGGCCAGAGTGAGCGTCGGGGGACCAGGTATTGATTGAGATTGAGGCTCAGAAACGGCAAAGAAGCCTTTGCCTCGAGCATTGATGCATGCACTGTGATACGAGGGTGTCTGTGCGTGTGTGCCTGCGTGTGTGTGTGTGTGTGTGTGTGTGTGTGCGTGTGCACACACAGGGATGTGAGCTGCAAAACTCAGGTGCAGCTTGTCATCCCGTGGCAGGCCACTGCCAACGACTGCTGGCACGTGAAGCAAGCCACAAGCGGCCGTGGCAGCCAGCGCCAGCCCTTGAGCAGCTCCCAAGCTCTCACTCTGCCGCAGCTCAGCAGGCCAGCAGCAGCAGGCGACGCGCCGCTGGCGCGGTTTGGCGCAGGTGCAGGACGACATGATCTTGCGCGACAAAGAGCAAAGGCAGCGCGCGACCACGTTGCACGCCCTGCCAGCAGCCATGGACGCGGGCAGCAGGCGCACGAGCGGTCAAAGACGCCAGCCCTCTGGCGATACGGTCCGCCCTGAGGAGCGGGATTCAAGGCGAGCCTGCGGCGTCGTCAGCATCGCCGCTTTGCTCGGCGCCTTCTGTGGGGAGCGGCTGGTCGTGCTGCTGCTGCTGCTGCTGCTGCTGCTGCTGCTGCTGCTGCTGCTGCTGCTGCTGCTGCTGCTGCTGCTGCTGCTGCTGCCACTGCTGCTGCTGGTAGTGGTAGGGGTGGTGCTGCTGATGGGGGTGCGGAAAGAACTGCATGGGCTGCGCCCACCCCCAACCTGCCGCGCCGTGGGGCGCGGTGAACGACGGCACCCACGCCATCGCAATCGAGTGCTGCTCTTGCCACGCCGCGGTGCCGTACACGAACCCTCCACACGCGGCCTGAGAGTGCCACTGCTGCTGCGCCGCCCAGGCCTGCCACTGCTCCCACATCATATTATCAAAGTAAGCAACGGGCGGCGCACTGTGCATGCGCTGAAGCGGAGCGGCGTTCCGTGGGCGCCGCTGCCACTGCGACAGCGCCCACTCTGGCGGCGGCGGGGGCGGCGGCGGCGGAGGCGGCGCGCCGTGCGGCGCGAACGGGCTCTCCGCGCGTGGCTCAAGGGCCGGCTGCGGCTGGGTCGACCAGCACTCAGAGGAGAGCGAGGGGCTCGAGCCGTGCGCCGCGCCGCCGCGCGGGGAGCCGCGCCCGGACGCTGCCGCCATCGCGCGCGCGGGCGCGGCGGCGGCGGCGGCGCTGACAGGCATGCCGAGGCGGCTGGCGCGGGGGCGGGGGCCCTCAAAGCTGCTGCGTTGGCAGCCTGTGCGGCCGTTGCCGCTCACCGCGCTCGCGCTTAAGCTTGCGCTCGTGCTGCTGTGAGGCGAGTGCTGCTCGTCTGCTAGGCTCCCACGCGGCGAGTCAAACCCGCTGCTGGTCCCCCCTTGCTGGGCGGATGCGCCCGGGGCAGCGACGGCCGTGAGCACGCACGCGGGCAGCGGCCGCCGCTCGGGGGGCGTCTGCGGGGACGGGGGCTGCTGGGGCACGAGTTGGTATTGCTGCTGCGGCGACGCGTGCGGCGGCGGCGTCGGCAGCGGTGACTGGAGCGGTCCCGGCCCTGTCCGCCGCCCGCCGGGCGGCGGCGGCGGCGGCGGCGCGCAGCGCGGCTC